TCCCTCTTTCCTTCCTAGATATTCAATATACAGATACACTATGCTCACTATATCCCATAAAAATTCCTGATTTCTATAGAGCCTGTAGGTATGCAGTTGATACTACGTGCCTGATATTGATGCATTTTCTATGATGCTCCTGGTTAATTTTTTGATTGCCCCAAAGAAGATGATAGAGGAATCTAAATCTATGTATAGAAACATCTGATAAGATACTGTTTTTGCTTTCATAGAATCAAATTCTAAAAACAGTATACTTCTTGCTTCCTAAGTTTTGGACAAATTAACACAGATTAAATTTTATGCTAACCTACCCAAGGCAGTAAGAGCCTCATTAAATATTTTACTGAATTTGGATAATTGCAATAAAAATATTTTTGCCTTAATCACGTAATGAGTGTCGAGTGAAAACTTTTACTGCACTATTAACCCATTTTACAGATTTCCCAATATGGTGAGCTAATCTATAATATAAATTCTACATACCATATGCAAACTATCAAATGATACATTTTCTTTTCATGAAGGACATTTTCTTTTTGCAAAGAATAGATGGTCATTTTTTTGCAGTATTTTAAAATCAAAATATCTATATATATTAAATAAATTTGAATTGACCTCTTACTATGTGCTATGGACAATGCTTAGATGTTTCCACATTATCTCCTTTAATACTCACAATAAGCCTGAGAGATAAATAAAGGTGCAAAACTGAACTCCTGATCATTCTCCCATGTACTGGGCTCCTCTCATGGCCTTTCAGATCTTGGTTAATGATTACTTCATCTTTCTGACTGCTGGGGCCAACCCTATATCCAATCCATCAGCAAATCCTACTGGTTTGCTCTCAGGATTATATCCAAAATCCCTCCACTTTTGCCACCTCTACCTCTACAAACCTGGTTCAAGCCACCACCAATGCTAATCTGGTTTACTGTAAGAGCCTGCCTCCTTAGTTCAGTGCACATCCCCTTCAGACAATATTTCAACACAGTAGATAGAGTGATCTTTTTAAAACCTAAGTCAGATCACAATACTCTTCTGCTTATAACTCTTCAATGTCTTTCCATCTGACCCAGATTCAAATTCAAAGTCTTCACAATGGCCAACAAGTCCTTTCAGCATGTGGCTCTCTACTACCTCTGAAATCTAGTACTCATCCCACCTACTCATTCTGCTCCTATTGCTCTGGCCTCATCACTTCTTGAACAAGCCAGGCACAACCTCTCCTCGAGATCTTTGCAATTGCTGTTCTCTCTGCCTAGTTCTCCCAGATATCTGCATGGCTATAGCTCCCTCACCTCCTCAGGTCTTTGCTCAAGTTAATCTTCTCAGTGAGGTTTTCTATAGCCACTCAGTTTAAAATTGCAATCCATCCTCTAAAACTCCCTACCCCTTTCCCTCCTTTAACTTTGTTCTAAGGCATTTATTACTATTTGATATTTATTTATTTATTCATTCATTCACCTATTCATTGTCTGACATCCCCCACTAGAATGGAAGCTTCATGAAGATAGGATTTTTCACTGATGTAGTCCCAGAGCTTAAGCAGTGCCTGGGACATAGGAAGCACTCAACAAAAATCTGTTGAATACACGGAATGAGAGAATGAACTAGTGAATGAGAAGGAAAACAAATGAAAAGTCTGGGTAACCTGTTCTACAAAAGAAAAGATATAATGAGCTTAGATATATGAGGGAGAGGGTAGTGGAGAAGGAATGTGAATATAATCATCTTTAAATGCTTGAATGATTTTCTTCACAAAAAAGGAAGAGATTTGTTCCAGAAGTGACCAAAGAAGAGGATCAGAACCAATCTACAAAGCAGCAGAAAGGCAGAGTATGGCCTACTTAAGAAGAAAGAACTTTCCAGCATTAGGAGGTGTTCCACAAAGAAACTAGCTCCCTTGGAAAGTGGTGAGCTCTCTAGCCCTCAAAGAAAGAGTTCAAGCTAAACTTAGAAAGGACTCCTACAATGGCTGGCTATTTGAAGGATATGACTTCTGAGGCCCCTTCTATGTGACCACTGATTCTGTGGATGCAGAGTCATAAGCTAACTGTCATGTTGGTCTTGCTCTCATTGTCATTATCAGCATAAAGAGAGACTAAAAAAATTAAGTGAGCATAGGTAATTATAATTGAAGAAATCTGGCTTTCAAGGGTTTCCAAAATATTATGCCACCCTACATATTTTACTTTTCTTACTGCCAGAAAAAATTCCTAGGGTAGCCTCCTTATTTATTTTTGAACATTTTCACATTTCCCCCATGTGTTCATGCTCTCCTTCATGCTAAAATAGGAATCTTTACCTGTACTTTCCACCAGCCTGACCCTACCCAAACCTCAAGTCCCCTTCCTCAAGAATGGCCTACGCGTGGCCCTAATGCACAGTAATCTCCCTCCCTCAGAGCTTTACTTGCTCTTGTCTATATAATCAAAATTAGTATTCCATTATACATTATGTGGAGCACTATGCAATGTATTCTGTGTGTGCATGTGTGTATAACAAACTATTATTTGCTAACCTATTCATGTATATGTCTGGATTCTCTGACTATAGCATTCTCTGAAAGCTCACTGTGTACAGAATTAATGCCTCATGTACTATATTAATTTAGTACAGTGCTAGGCACACAGCTGGTTTCAAATAGGCCCTTACCAACTGACTGACTAATCAATTAACGAAATGGAAGATCTGGCCAGCAGGCTCAAGCTTTGTCTATCGGAAGTTACTTTCCTAAAAAGCATTTTTCCTTCCTTTACAGATCAATTGCAAAGTCAAAATTCAAACACTGCAGATTTCACAAACAGGGATAGCTGGCAAGCATTGGGCTTTACAAATAATGAATGTGCACATCAAAACAAAAGTTGCAGGTATTTGTAAAAGTACACGCATGCAGCTGATATGAGTAGAGGTGGCTAAGAACCCTCCCTCCCAGCCCAAGTAAAGAGTTTGAGCTGTTCCTGATAGAGTCCAGCATTGTTGCATGGTTTCCAAATCACAAGAAGAGTCCTGGAGTATAGTCTAGCTTTGCCAATTGCAATGGAACTATTTATTTATGTTGTCAAAGCTCCTGTTTGCTGATCCTTTACAGTATCTATAAATGAAGGCCATGAAGTTTGCTTCATTAGGAGATTAAACCTATAAATTGCACATCTTTTTACATTACCTATTAGAGATTCTAATCTGGCTTTCTCTACAGGAGGACAATGCTAAAAATAGCATGTCTAGTCTATGCTACTCAGTTAAATTTGTAAGTATCTTATAGGTTTTATTCAACCTCTTTGAGATTAAGATCAAAATGGCAAATGTTCAAATCACTTATACCACAATGCAGCAGAACATAATTCTTTATAATATGAAATATATACCTGACACACAGCGTCATTTCTCTAGGATAATAATATTTACTCTAATTTGGGACTTACTATATGCCAGACATTGTTCCAAGCACTTTAGATACATTAAGTTATTCAATCTTCAGAAAGGTCTGATGTTGTAGGTATTACTGTCATCCCCATTTTACATATGAGGAAACTGAGGTACACAGAGTTTAAATAAGTTTCCCAAGGGCAAGTAGAGAGTTCAGAGGAATAAGAATTGTTATGCACTAGTTCCTAGAGCGAGGAAGAAGCAGAGCTAGTATTCGAGCCAGAACAGTCTGGCTCCAGAATTGACATTCTTAACCACTACACTATATAGCCTCTAAGAAATCTGTAGGCTCTAATTGAGAGGTATGTGTAAGGGTGAAAAGGAAATATAAGGTTTCACATAAGCCTGGTCTAAATCTCAGCTCTGTTATTTACTAGCTGTGTGGACTTGGACAAATTATTTAACATCTCTGAATATTGTGTTTTTCAACCTCATGGAGAAGATGATAGTGCCTATCTTATAAGTTTGTTGTATCTGCAATAATCTGTATAATTCACTCAGCATAAGTAAGTATTCAATAATTTACCATTATTGTTACTCAAAAAGTAGCCCCAAATTTTAATAGTTTTTAGTATCTGCATAATTCTCTATTAGCTCACACGTAAATTACTGAATACGCTTCAAATAAATTGGAAATACATTACATTTGGCCATAGTTCTTTGGGAAAAGACAATGTTGTAGCTATATGTACCCTAATAAGCATCATTTAACATTAATAGTACTCCTATCAGGATTATTACAGAACTCTGATACTTAACCTATCAATTGAAGGGGTTAAATCCAAGGTTAGAGCTAATATTACTCCATTTCATATATTGATAAATTCATTTCATAATAGCTAAGTAAAAAAAAAAAAAACCTAACTCACTGAATTACCAGTTGTATCATCAGTAAAATGTATGACAATGTTGAGCAATATATGTAATTTTATTGGCTTGAAAGTTATGCACATCTTTTCAAAATCAGCTATAAAAATTGATCTCACCCCCATTCCCTCAAGAAGTCAATAGCAATCTTTGAATTTCTTGTTTGTCTTTCCCTCTTGTAAATAACCTCGTATCTAATGAAGATCAGTTTGCAAAGATGGATCCCAGGGAGTTAATAATCTATCAAATACAACTACTTAAAAGAAAATATGAATCCTTAAGTGGAAATAATACCTGGCTTTATGTAGCAAGTATTATCAAAACTGGGCAGAGGAAAATACTCAGCACTGGAGATTTAAGAGTAAGATATTCTGGCCATTGCCTGCACATCCATAGCCCTATTCCACAGTCTAAAATGAGCCTTCCACGAAGGACCTCTACGCCATCAGAATCCTTAGTCTCTAAATTTCAAAGCTCCTTTTATGCTACTGTATACCATAACAAAAGACCTTATTTTCTCTAGGTTCTAGGAGCTCTTCCTCAAATGGCACAGTCATACTCACAACTGCGCAGAATAGGACTCTGAGGCATATTTTGAAGCAATGTTGTGAAGACAATTCCTCAGTCATTTGGCATGACAGAGGCAGAGACCTGATTTAATCCTTTGCTCTTGCTCCCCTTTCAGTAGCCATAGGACCTCTTGAAGCCTCCATTTCTTTATCTTATTTAGAGGATTATATACTTTGTATACCTAAAACACCTCGTATACAGTAGGCATTCAATAAGTGGTAGATGCTATTGAGTTGTTTTAGAGTTTCATTTTACATGCATTGTTATGTGTTGAGGTATTTCGGTCCAGAGCTGGTATCAATGTTCCCTTTGGCAAAGAGGACTAAATTAAATAGAATTACTGCATCTCATATTTTCAAATAAGTATCAGGGAACTAAAATGGTACCTCTGATAATCTTCCAGACTATGGCAAAAGAGATCCACTATGCAACACAGGGGACATGACTGAGAGAAGGGTGAGAATGACAAAACATCTCAAATTTAAACTTTTGATTCTCCGCTCAAAAGAGACTGTATACATTTTCAGAGATAGACTAACAGGATTAAAAGAAGACATTACACAGTCTTAAATTTATATTTTGTTACCTACAGCTATACTTCCTAGAGTACACTGTGACTTGGTATATTTCATAAATTCTCTAATTAGCATGTGAGTAGCCCAATTATATTGTATTGTACTTTTGGTGTTAAAGGCATTACTTTTTAAAATGGAAACATTTGTAACACAGAAGAATTTGATATCCTATTTTGGCATGTCTTCAGCTGTTAATACACTGGGATCCTCAAATAACAAAGTGATTTAAGCCTCACTTTACCTCGAAAAGGTTCTGCCATAGTGTAAAGAAATTCATTATCTAGTGTGATATAAAATATAGTTTTACTCTGATAGCAAATCCATATTTAATAGTAATAATAATGACAGGAACTCACCTTTATTGATATTGTACTAAGCATTATACAAAGTACTTTTAAAAGCACTGCCTCATTGAATCCTCTCAACAATCGTATGAGATAGGTACTATTATTCGTTTCACTTCACACATGAGAAAACAGAAGCTTAGAAAAGTTAAATAACTTGCCCAAATAGGTCGCACAGCGTCTCAAACTCAGAGGTCAAACACAGAAGCCGATGCTCCTCCCCAGAACACTCTAGTGTATTGTATAGTGACCCAGACTGCTCTCATTGGCCTTTTTTTTTTTTTTTTTTTTGTATTCTGACTATTTACTTTTCCAAATTAGTTGTATGTTTTTAAACACATGCTTCTGAAACCAGCCTTGTGTTTCATGAGGTTATTTTCTGAGTGTCCTTAAAAATAAATGGTTCTTTACTCCTCCTTTAAGGCATCTCTTTTCTTCACCTCCAAGTGAAGCTTTCTTGTTTCCCTGGCACAGCACAGCTCCTCAATTCCCCTTCCAATTAACAGTGAACACAGCTTCCTTTTTGCTTCCTCCACTTCTCTCTCTCAAGCCCTTTCCCAAGTGTCTCCCCAGTCTGATGCCAGCTGCCTCAGGCCACTGCCTCCAGACAGCCCTCTGGTTTGCCACCCCTGTGCTGCTAGGTCTGAGTGTGCTGGAACCTACAGACATCTGCACCCCGCTCTGCTGACCACTGTGGTTACAAGAGGCCTCTTTCGAGTGCAGACAGCCAGTCAGCCAAGTCGAAATTTATACCAGAAATCTATTACCTAATTTTTAAACAAAATGACATGAAATCAGACTTGAAGATATCAAAAACACGTCTAGTTTCTGATTTAAGCAAGAAAATCCACATTGTTACTGCTTCTACCACAGAATAATTTACTGCAACAGGAGTTCTGGATCTTATGCCAAAAATGAGGTCCTCTAACCAATGTCAAGGCCAATTATCTTGTGGTAAATCCCACAACAAAAGCAGAATATTGTGATTAGAGTCAGAAGCACCACCCAGAGAAGCTAGAAAGCTTCTGGGGATTTCTTAAGGTTAGTTTTTACTCTTTTTTTCTCCCTGTGTGTCTGCTTAAATAAACTACCAGAAACTTTGTGTGTGGGCACTGGACATCCTAGATTAGTTTGAGAGACAATGAAAGGGGTTATCAGTTGGGAGTGATCTGTTGCCTGTTTGTTTTGATTTGAGCAGAAGCCATGCTGCAAGGCTGTGCGCGTGTGACAGGCCCCTTCGGTATGTCACAACCTCTTCCCTTCCCTAATCTCCTTCCTCAAAACACTGCCAGTAGCCATCCTGTGGTTTCTTACCGCAGGAAAGCCCAGGTGGTTAAATGCAGGAACACTTACCCCACGGTAAAGAACTGCCTCATCTCCTGTCTCCGAGATCTCATCAGTTGCTTATACTCCCCAATCCGGAGCTTTTTGCCATCAACAATGCAGGTGCGTTTCGGTCGAGGTTTGTATTTATAGTTCGGGTACTTCTCTAAGTGGATCTTGCTTAGCCGGGCCTGCTCCTCATAATAAGGTTGCTTCTCTTGGTTGGACATGGATTTCCAGCGAGACCCTAGACATAAAAATAGCCTTAAGTACCCAAGTGGTCAAGGCAACATACAACATACTCCTGGCAAATAACTAGATATACCTTCCCACCACTTCACTCACCTGTGCTCTGGGTAGCTCCTATTATCACATACCATCGAGCCACACAACTAGTGTTTTAGACTATAGAGCAAAGAATAATTTGGATGTGATATATTTATTATATTATTTCCCTCAATAACTTAAAGCTGATGCTACCATAAGTATATTGTTTTAAAACACGTCTTTGCTTCTTAAGATCGTCTCCTACACCAAGGTTGTTTCCCCATCCATCTGCCTAGGGTTAAAAACCTAAACTTCCTAAGTATACTTTGGAGTATGACAGAATTCTCAGGAAAAACTCTCTTGGTTCCAGAAATTCAAACATCTCCCACACTCCAAGCATCTTTAGTGAAGCTGTCCTTTGATAAGATGTTAGATGTTGATATTCTTCCAAATATAAAATCCTAAGGGGCACACTGTATCGCCTGGCCTACACTCTACTTAAGAAGTTATAGCTTTAGAACCGGAAGGTACAGTGGAATTATATATATATATATATATATATATACCATTTTCAAGTACTATAAACATTCATTCGAAGCCATACCAATCAAAGTACAAAAATTTTTAATATGGTTTATACAGGAGGAAGGAAAAGTATTCACTTCTCTAATATTGTTTATAAAGAATTATCTAAACACTTGACGAAGAAGGGATGTGTTTTTTTACGTGTATCAAATTGCATTTTTGTGTCTCGCTGGTGAATAAAGCGGTAACAGCTGTGCTGACTGGATGTCAGCTATTCTTCAGTGGAGATTTTTCATACATAAACAAATGGAAAAGTTGTACAAATATTCTATGCAGCCAGCAATATCCTGGTCTGTTTTAATAGCACATCCATTCCTGTTTTTCCTGATTGTTGTGCAAAAGTTGTGTAGAGAGTCTACACGGACAGGCTTCTCTGTGTTCGGCTGGCTCCCAGCAGCTTAGAGTCCCAGTTAAGGTTTTTGGTGCTCTTAAAATTCTTGTGCTTAAAAGTTTACATTTTAATGAATATACTTACTATACTCTTAATTTTTTTCACGAATGCACACCAATAATATAGTTTCCCCACAGATGCCAAAATGGAAACAGAGAGGTTCTGTGCCCATTGGAGAGCTTACTCATACTGCTAATAAAATGGCCAAAAAGGGGAAATTTTCAAAGTTAGATATCAAAATTTAGGGACAGAGAAATAATGATTTTCTTTTGAATGTCTATTCATTAGAAAAAATTTTAATATATATATTAGGACCATTTTGGTTTGAAAGGTATTTAAATTTATAAGAATAGGGCTTCCCTGGTGGCGCAGTGCTTGAGAGTCCGCCTGCCGATGCAGGAGACGCGGGTTCGTGCCCCGTTTCGGGAGGATCCCACATGCCGCGGAGCGGCTGGGCCCGTGAGCCATGGCCGCTGGGCCTGCGCGTCCGGAGCCTGTGCTCCGCAAATGGGAGAGGCCACGACAGTGAGAGGCCCGCATAACGCAAGAAAAAAAAAAAAAAAAAAAAATTATAAGAATAATGCCCCTATGTATATCTCTGAAACTCTAAAAATAAAACCCCACTTAACTGCAATGACATTTAGTATCCATCTTGAAATTCAAAAGTCAAAAAGAAAAAAAGGAAAAACTTGTATTTTAACATTTCAACACTATTTGATCTCACGTATCTTTAAAATTTTCTTAGGGGCCGCTGCCTCAAAATGTCTCAGAATCAAGTTAAATTATTTATACAGTGATAAAACATGTGTATTTGTGTATGTCCAGATCACTGATATTTACTCAGGTTAAATATTTATTGCTTTTGAACAAAACATTTAAAAAATGAAAACCACAGTTTAAGTCTCTAATGTTTTTCGGCTTCTTAAACGGCTGCCTTTGAGATTTTGTCACATCATGACAGCTTAAATAGAACAGTGCCTTCTGTGTTTTTTCTTTTTAAAGAGGAAACATGTTGACTGTAATGCTGCATGTTGAATAAAATACGTTCAATATGTTAAGCACAATAGTTCCAAACTGTATAATCTGCACTAGGCAAGCTTTACACTAATAGAACAAGGCTTGAGTTTAATCCGGAGAAAGGGGAGAATCACTCTGGCAAGTTACCACAAAATGGGCCTCTGCCCTGTGGTCTCTGTGTTCAACTCACTGCTATGAAATTTGAACTAGTCATATCTTATTAAAGTAAATGTAGTTTTATTTTACAAGTTTTAAAGTTATCATTAGAGGCACTGTTCTACACTCAATAAATTTCACACTGTTTGGGGGCTCACCCCTAGCCCTTGGTGAGTTCTTTCAGAGGGACATATGAGTCCAAGAATTCTAAAGCAGAAAACCGTAGGGTCTATGACTGTTCCCAGGGTTTCACAGCAACTTACGAATTTTAAAAGACTGAATTAAGAAAAGGAGATAAAGCTTGTCTCCATGATTCTTATTTTGCAGTGACCTCTCAGAGTTGCCCTATTAACACATACAATAGATAGTTTTGTCTCTAAAACAAGTGTTTAGTCAGTCCTGCCCTGGCACCTGGTGGATGTACTAACTCCTAAACCTAAAGGCTACGGTGCAGGGTGGGAAATGCAGAGATGATGACAGTCTCCTGGGGCAGCTTGCTGAGCTCCACCTAACTTCCGCAAACCACAGTCTCCCTTAGGTGTCACATTAGGCCCCGTCTTTCCACTCGTTAGAAGATCAGCATCAGCGGCTGCACTCACCTAAGATTTTGCTAATGTTGGAGTTATGCATGTCAGGAAAGGCCTGAAGGATTTTCCTCCTCTCATCCTTGGCCCAAACCATGAATGCATTCATTGGTCGCTTGATGTGTGGCTCACTGCTGGCCCGGCCACGGGCATCCCTGTAGACTCGTGCTTCAGCCACAGTGGCACCTCCTGTTGGCCAACAATAATACTGCTGTAGTTTAGCTGCAGAGCCATTCATTGCTTTACTTCCTGTAATGTCAGGGCAGGAAGAACAAGATGGGTGCAAAGCATTATTATCTGGAGACTGTTAACGTAGCTGGCCACCTGGTTCAGCTGTTTTCCCTAGGCCCTTCTCTTCTTTTTAAATGAACTCTTGGAAGCAGAAGACAGTTTTAGACGACAGTTCTATAGGCTCTTCTGAGGTAGGCCTCAAAGGCACACTGGGCAGAATTAATTTTGCATGTTTTTATATACCTAGTACATTTTTACCACAATCAATTCCAGGTAACCTTTCCTGCGTGATTTCTCCCTTCAAAGCAGGCTCTTACCTATCATTTTAGCCTCATGTGCCAAACACTGTAGCCACTTCAAACTATCTCTTACCCCCAATAGAACTCTCTTTCACAATACTGTGCCTTGGCCAGTGCTCCCCTCACTGCCTGGAAGCCTCTTCTCCTACTTCTTCATGCTAAATCCCACTCATCCTTTAAGGCCTATTCAAATGTTGTGTGTTGCATGAATTAATTAGTAATTCAATGATAACTATTAACTGAGCAATTACTATGAGTTAGGCTTTATGCCAGGTGCTAGGGATACAAAAGTGAATAAAACAGCACCTGCCTTTAAAGGAGCTCACAGTTCAGGGAGGAGACAGACCCCAAACAGACAATTGTAACAGAGTGTATGGTACGTGCTCTAATATTGAAGTAAACAGGGCATCAAGAGGGTGCCAGCAGACGGGACAGTGAGCTAATGCCTCCTAGGAGAGGTGACATCTAAGCTGAGTCTTGGAGGATGAATAGGAATTAGCACGTGAATGGGAGGGGCAGTAAAGATGATGGGAAGGGTAATTCAAGCCAAAGGAAGGGCATTTGCAATGATGCCCCCCAGGATGCATTCGTTCCTCTTTCTTTTAATGTTACATGCTCCAAAGAAATTACTTGCTTATGTGGCTATCTCTCTCTAATATTTCCATTCCATCCCCAGGAATATGAGACCCCTAAAGTTAGTGTTTATGCTGCACTCATTTTTGTATCCCCAGGATTCTCCATGTAATAGATACTCAAATACTTATTAAGTAAAGGATTGTTCAGTTTTCAACTCACATGCAAAAGTAGTAGACTAAAAGGCAGTCATTTCAAGGGTCCTGAAATATTTTTCTGCTGTGTGAGGGTAGTTCTTTGACATCCCCTATGAAACTAAGTCTAAATTCCTGATGTTTTATAGTTTCCAAAGAAGTGACCATAGTAACCTACTAGACTGAAACCTTCTTGAGGATATGGCAGGAACTGGCTCTCCTTCACTGCTGTATCCCTAGGTTCCAGTAAAGCACATGGCATCCAGAGTTTCAGTTAGTAAAATACATTCAATTAATGAATGGTTGAATAAATGAATCAATGAATGAACATAGTTCTTGCTTGCTTTCATACCCCCTACCAGCATGATACACTGATGGGTGCTTTACAGGTGGCAACTACTATATATCTCCCTATAGATTGAGAACCCCTATAGTTAAATGTAAAGTTGGACTGATGGCCTCAGCCAGGGCTTCTACTGCATAAACAGGAAAGCCTACTCCCAAAAGTTTGGAAGCAAAATATACATTAAAACCTACATCTCTACATTTTGGAAAAAGTAAATCCTTTCAGCTCAGTGGAGTGATTATGCAGGAACAACATGATCCAATCCATCTCGGCCCTTCTACTCTATTTCTAGCCACCTTGATTAAGTAGAAATTTGTTTGTGTCAGAGCTAGGAATAAATTAGAACATTAAAGTGCACTATTATTTGGCAAATATGGTCATCATTTATTGCAAACAAAAGACAGAATAAAAGGGCTGAACTGGCTAATATTGCCAGTTCTTTTCTAAACATGAAGAAGGGCAGAGGGGCCCCTTTCTGAAGACCATGCAAAATAAAATATTTTATAAACAGCCTTTCTTTTAGGCCGACTAGACAGAATGATCCCTTACATGAAAAGTCTCAGATCCCAAGATGCATAACTAATATGCTACCTTTTCGCCACCATACCCACAGTACATTAATTTCATTTAAAATGCACTGACCATACAGGATAAATTGATTTCACTTTATATGGGTTTGACAACCATGTTTATTGTGCAGTGAAATGTAGTGTAGCTTCCAGCTGACAATATCCATCAACACAGGGCAATATGCTGACTGCTGGGCCAGATGAAGGCATACATTACTCTGGAAGTGAAACACTCATTCAGACACGACAGTGTCTTCTCCTGAGGATCACCGTAGTAATTTATGATGCCCTCAGTGCCATTACTTTACAACTGACATGAATTCAGCAATTTATATACTTGCATGCATACATATAAAAGCAGACAGGCTTGTGGAGACTGTCAGATGCAAAAACGTTTCAATATTATTCTAAGTTAACTACTATGCTACAGGTGATTAACATTTGAGATCTGCTTTTACTGTCATAGCTTTTCTTCACCTCTAGCAACACCAAATAGCCAGCTTCCATTTATTTATTCACTTACAAGATGTATTTCATTGTTAACAGGCAGTTTTAATCTCCTACAGACTGATCATCGTAGATTTTTAGACTCTGGTTTTAGTAGATCTTCTACCCCATACCAATTGATACTCCCAGACATGTCCAAACCTAACCCAATCTCTCTCCCTCTTATTCCATACTGTAGTCTTAACATAACCTTCCTACTCACTTCTACCTGACTAAATTCCACCCTCTCCAAGGTATAGAGTTCAGGTCCCACCCTACCAACTGTCCTACACTGACCTTGCCTGTCCTCCCATAGTACATATTATTTACATGACACTGACTGACACTGAATTAATTACACAGCAGGTCTCTAGTCTCACAAGAAATACTCCCAGAAACTGAGAAATTCAAGCACAGTACATAGTATAAAAATGTGAATTAAGAAAGGGAAAATAGAAAACACCAGGGTGTATGCACATCTTTTTTTTCTTGTCTCCTTTTCTCTCTCCCAAGCAGAGTCAACTGCAAAATGAATGGGACATTCCAAGTTAAAACTAGAAATGCTGTATTAATGAACCAAGATTTAGGAAGAAGAGACTTATCCAGAGAGATCAAAAGTTTTGAAACTACTTTTAAATTGGATCTGATATATGATCAGAGTTAGAATTTTAAGAAAATATAAAGGGGCCCTAACATCAAAAGAATATTCAGAAAGTGTCCCTTAACTTCCCAAAACGGCTTCATGAAACAAACTGGTGAGGGAATTTTTGTTGTAGCAATAAAAATACATATGACTGTATATATGTGTATAAACTCAGAAATTTAAAAAGAGATTGTATTTTTGGAAATCCCTTTTAAACAGATAAGGAAAACTCTATATAATAATATAGAATTATTTTTAAAAGCTATGCTGTTAGTCTGAATATTTGAAGCCTAAAATTGACTTTCTGCTATAATTAACTTAAGAATCTACATATCAAATGTGACTTCATGCTGCTCATTTATTTTCAGAAATAACATCAAGTTAAAAAGGGGCAGAGGGGGAGGCAATTGGTTCTAAAGTAGCCAATGCTCTGTGTCAGAACCCAGAGTTATCCTAGAGAATTGCTCATAATTCTAAGAGGCATATTCTTTTACTTTTAATAGCAGAGGAATCATTTGTGAGTTCAATGTTCATAATGTCTTCTCATGGAAAGCAGTTGGAAGAAGCCTAGACCTACAGCTATGTACTTGGAGACTACTGCTTTCCAGCTGACCTAAGAGTCTTTAATTACCAGCAACACCATTCCTAAATAACGGAAGGTCAACAGTACCACACTGGGCAACAAGGGAAAGCACTGGTCCCCTTTACTCCAGGAATTCCTGGTCTCTCTATTTCCCTGAGTTTAATTCATCCTTCATCTCCCATATCACAGTCTGTGTAAAGGCAAACTTTCAGTTAGATGAAAAAAGATAGTCTAGGAGGAAAAAACAGAAATTGCCAAGGCAAAAACTTTCTTAGGGATCTGTGATTTAAACGATTGAAAGAGAATACAGAAAGTTGAGTTTTTCCAGGTGGGCTGGAAAGAAGGCCAGTGTAACCATCATAGCCTATGGCAATGGTCCTGAACTAATCCTAGAGAGGCCCCCTTTCTGGGTAAATGCCAAGGGTTATGTGAGTGAATGAGTAAGCGTTTTGTGTGGATTTGTGCATATATAAAGTTCTCCCTAAGGAGGAACTCTAGCTAATTCTATAATGTGCTTAGGAATCATTTATTTATGCATCAATTCAGCAAACACTTCTGACAAATTTCAGATGTACCCAGCATTGTGATGGACTATACAAAGATAAATAACACATGTGACTTGTTTTTAAGGAATTTGGTCCAGTGTGGGAAACAGATGCATAAATAGAAAATTACAAAACAGTGTTAAGTGCTAACACGGGTAATTTCAAGGTACTATGAAAGCAGAGAAGGGAAGCTATTAATGTCGTTGGAATGGACAGATATGAATAATGCGGAAGCTTCAGAGAGGAAGTACTGCTTGAGCAGTATCTTAAAGGAAGAGTAAGAATTTACCAGCAGGTATGAGTGTGAAAGCATTCTAGGTTGGAGAATGTGTGAATATAAAGGCACAGAGTTATAACAAAAGCACAGAGGGTTTTAGGGAATAAAAAGAATCTGGCTATGGCTTGAGTTTTTTTTTAAAAAACAGGGGAATACCAAGAGATTAAATTCGGAAAGTAAGTAGGGCCAAGATTGCTAAGTACCTTGACTTCAAAGCCAAGAAGCCTTTAAGGTTTTTATTATAAAAAAGCAGGGTAGTGACATGAACAAATGTGTTCTACAAGAGATCAAAATGGAGGCTAAATGAGAAATTACCACTGAATAGTCTCAATGATTACCAGTGAATTGGCAATAAAGAATATAGAAAAATAAGGTGAATAAATACCTCCTCACAGGCCCATTAAAACTTACATTTTGTCAGACAGAATGAATGTAATATAAGT